AACTCTAAACTCTAAACTCTAACCACTTCTCAACCCCTTTGGCTTGTCGGGATATTTGTCATGGAATTGTTTAACCAACCTGTCTGCTTTCACATCCCAAATCTTAACCCAGGTAGCTTCAGACAAAGGGTACTCTTTCCAATGAGCTGAGAAGTAGCGTGTGCAGCTGGTACAAAAGTTAGAGCAAACGTATAGCATTTTCTATCTCAATACCTACTGTAAAGACATGTGATTTTTTTTTAAGTTAATTTAAAATATTCTAAAGCATCCTAACCAAAGTATACAAGTACAGGCAGTCCTGGATTTACGACCGTTCATCGAGTGACCATTCGAAGCGACAACAGCGCTGAAAAAAGTGACTTATGACCATTTTTCACACTTACGACTGCATCCCCACACTCACACGGTTGGCATTCATTTATGACCGTCGCAGGGTCATGTTTTGCTACTTTCTGACAAGCAAAACCAAGGAGGAAACCAGATTCACTTAACATCCGAGCTACTAATTTAAAAGCTGCAGTGCTTCACTTAACATACGTGGCGAGAAAATGGGGGAAACTCGCTTAACAAATTTAGCCACAAACATTTGGGGCTCAGTTGTCCTAAATTGAGGATTACCTGTAATGCTGTTCTTAGTTTATCGTTTACAAAAGCAATAAAATCAAGAAATTACCCTCAATCCCAGAGTTGCAACAGATGCCACCAAGGTACTTGAGGAGGAATAATAAAAAAATAATAATGTCCTTCAAGTACTAACCGTATAGATTCCACTTGCTCACCCAGCTTTCCATAGGTTAGAATTGAATCGAATCGAACAGAACAGAACAGAATAACAGAGTTGGAGGGGAACCTTTACCTTTTAATATATTATCACCGATATATCCATCTCCAGAATCCCCAATGCCACACTTGATTTTCTCTTTCTATAGTTCACAGAAACTAAACGGCACAGCAAGGAACTGAAGAATTTAGGCACTGATATGGCACTTATGTGGTTATTGGCTTAGATCCATTTATTCTCAATGCCAAAGATTAATTTTTATTTTTTATTTTTTTGCAGTTGGGTTGAGAACTTTGGACGCGAAGGACTCGGATTATTATTGGATCTCTTGGAAAGACTGGTTGAAAGCAAACAGTAAGTCTTCTAACAAGGCTGTAATTCTGAGAAAGAATGGACAGTAACCAACATGATATAATTGTGGCGTCTTTATCTTCCTGCATTCAGACAGGACAAGTTCCTAAAGAAGACACAGCATAAGATAATTCAGTGCTTAAAAGCTTTTATGAATAACAAGGTGAGTACACTCATTTGCTTAATTGTTTGAAGCTGAAAGCTTACACGGGGTATCAAACTCAATTTCATTGAGGGACGGATGGCTGTAGCCGACTGGGTGGGTGTGGCCATCTTGATACCACTCACTGGGCGTGGCCGATTGGGTGGGAGTGACACCACTCCTCAATCTACTGGCCCAATGTTTCCTCTTCGCACTGGGTGGACCAAGCCAAAGCGACATGTGCCATTCCTTTTGTCAGGCCTGCAGCCATCTTTAAAATGGCTTCTACTGTACTGCTGTAAAATGGCTTCTACTATACAGTGCAATGGGGTTGACATGGTAACAGCTTCACAGTACTCCACAAGGGGACTCCTTCTGGTAAGGAGGAAAATCCAACATTAGAAATTACATTTTGTCCGGACATTTTTCCGCTATGAATAAATACCCAGGCAATGCCAGGTTATCGGCTAGTATTAAATAAAAAGAAACAGCATTTAAGTCAACCTCAATTTGATCATCTTGTGGAAGCGCTCTTCGCAACTCTTCCCAATTTGGTAGGATTTCATATATTTTCTTGATACATACGTATTGGGAACACGGCAACGACCCGTCTACATATTTGCATCTTGTCAACCATCACCACCTGCCTCCTGCTAATTTTTATTTCTTGACCCTTTTTAGTATGGTTTGGAGAGAATAATGAGCGAAGAGAGAAGTTTTTCGTTACTGGCCAAAACAATTGATCCCAAACAGATCAACATGATGACTGATGCAGTGAAACTTCTCTCTGCGATATGCATTATTGGGGA